CTTAGAACTAATCAAGATGACGTGGATTTATACACCCTTTTTGATTTCACTGAACATTTTCATCAACCTCATCTTATGCCATCATCTAACGTTATCAAATCAAACCCTTAGAATGTCATATAATCTTCTGCATCACAGAGTAATTTATCAGTGAAATTCGGAATGTTATACACTATTTCGGAGCGTTCAATTTCAGTGACAGTATGTGACACTGAAGCACGGACTGAAGTGATGCATTTTTACGATGGAGTATTTCTCCGAGTGATTCAAACAGTAGGAACTGTTTAAGTGTGAGATTGTTTAACTAATTACGTTGCTGGCTTTATTCGAGATGGAGAGAAAATAGAACCAGTTCCCATGAAGTTTATCGTGATAAGACCAACGTCTTTTGTTATCCCATGAGAATTAAAATGTTGGCCAGAGTAGAACGATTGCACAATCTTGTCGAATAAGCTCCAAATAAGAATGAGGTTACGCATTATTGGTCGGTTTTTATTGCCACTTATAAGCTTCACACCTCATACATAAGCAATTACATCAAAAAAATCAGATGCGCTAAAGGGCACAAGGTCTGAATGAGAAATAAACACAAGTAAAATATAAAATGATAGCAAAATATATAAGCGATTCAAGCAGGTGTAACTTACCAAAGTCCATATTATAAATAGTATAAGTTACAAGTATATCTGAAAGACGTGTCAAATTCCCACGACTATCATCTCCATAAAAATCAGTTTTACGATCAGTCCGTGGAACATCTTTGTCTACAGAAAATAAGCGTATTTTAAAAAAGTGTTAAAATGGTGGGAAATAAACCGCACAAGTAAACGTAAGTGCCACCAGCTATTACAGTAACTTCATAAAAAAGTTTTCATGATAAGCACGATAACTAGTGGAATGAGAGTTCGAGCAAAAACGTGGTTGGTATGAACCACTAAAAATATTAATGAAGACTTGTAAAACACTTGAAAAGAAACAAGACTCAGTTACACTAAACTGGTGAGTATAACGTTTAAGAGGAAGCAAATTTTCAGCCCTTGATAATAAGAACAAAGACAAACAGACAAGACTAAAATAGGATCTCGAGAAAAATGTAAAAATTGATTTCCTCAATTGAACAGGAAATAGTTTTCCACAAATCACTTCCTTATGAAAATCATCGAACCTCAGAGTGAACACAAATCAAAGAAATATTTGTGTGAACAGAAATAATTGTCACTCAAGGCTTATTTTTTTGAATACCAGACAGAAGAAGATGAAATGATCCGATAAGTCAATATTTGAGAAAGGAAATTCAAAGGGAAGCGATTCAAAAGACAGATACAATCAATCAAGTCACTCGAAATTTGAGGAAGCCAATTTCAGTGAACCAGATGACCATTTTAAGGGAAGACGTAAAGAACAAATGCAAAAGCTTTCAACACAACTCGGTACAAGTACTGAGATATAGGCTAAATATAGTCTTTGGGGGCAAACGATACTACCCAGTTATGCAAGTTAAAAATACTGGGATGGGATATAAACCTGAAACCATTCCTTTACAGATGACGGTTAAAGTCTAAGAGTCAGACTCCCAATCCATCCAAATCAACATCGGACCAGGCATTACTGCGTAACGGTCCGATTCGCCACATCTCATATCAGGACATCAAGTAAGAAGGCAGTCAAGCGTGAGATGAAGAAAAGAAAATTCAATCAAAAGAAATAAAAAGTACTAAAAGAGAGAAAGGAAGAAAAGGAAAATGGTGACGTTCGGTATAGCTTCGTTAAGATGAGGATAATGTGTGTATACATCTGCGCCACTGACTACAGTTTTCAGCCATATCACCTAGTATCCAACCACTAGTTTCTCTTGTCCCGCAGACCCAAACCACCTATATATATATACATATACGCGTTCGGACCAATACGTAGTCGCTATCCAAACACGTACTCCAGAAGGAGTGGCAGTCTTCCAACGATCCTCTCTAGCAATGACTGATAGCAATGTGGTCTATCTGTGTCCATCGCTGAGCTGAGCTCGGTGGATGCCACGTCAGACAATGTCTTTCTTTATGTTTGAAATTTGTGCTAGCTAAAAATAGGCGGTTATCTGAGCACATTTTTAATAGGTGATCACCGTTATCTGTTGCTTCAGCTGGGGTTCCGAAAGTGCCACCTAAGTGGCTTTCTGTCCCACTCAGTCTACCCACCTGTGCATTGAAGTCACCTGCAACAACCACCACATCTGAGCGTTTGGCTCTCAGAAGGAGGCTAGATAGTTTTCGGTAGAACTCGTCCTCCACTTCATCCGAGCTCCAGTCGGTGTGTGCGTAAGCACAGATTACAAAGAGACAACGGTGAGTTTCACTATTCCTCTTAGTTCTCACTGAACAATTCGGCCGCATAGCGTAGAGGGGACTATCAACTAGGATCCAGTCTAGTAGTGAGCTTTCTACACTAGTGCTTAATGCTATGCGTACACCTGGAAGACCATGAGAGCTATCCATCTAATCTCGAGAAACTCGAAGGGTGAGTTTTGCGCATTCACCAGACTAGCCGGGAGAGGCTAGATCAATAACTGCACTTACGTCCTGTATGCGAGTCTCACAAACACAGCACACATCCATGCCTCGAGTTGCTGGAGTCTTGGTCAATGAAGCCTTGTTGACCAAGTTGACGGAGGATGCAGACATTGAAGGCACCGATGTGTAGTTTGGAGCGTGGTTTAAGGAGATCGGGGATGCTGTCCTGTGGATTCAGATCGTTGTCGAAGGCTGCAGAGCTAGGAGAAATTGAAGATGATGTAGTATCGTTGATTGAGAGACGTGAAAGAAGATTAGAAGGTAATGATGAGGGAGGTGGATAGCAGTCTGAGGAAACTTGAGTGCTGACAGAGTTGTGAGGGCGGTTGATACTTCCCAGCTGCTCACACCGTGGAAGGCTATTTCTTCTTAAGGTACCTGGAAGAGACTTGTGTGACTGCAGAGCCCATCGGAAATCACACACAGCCTTCTGTGTATGCTTGTTTGAACTCTTGTTGTTTTGGGGCCGGAGAGTCGGAAAGCAACGACAAATGAACCAACACCGCCGGCCCGGCAGACCGTGGGGTATGGTGGAGTGTGTTATATTTGGGGTCGACCTTTTCCAACCCCCAACCCCCCCCCCCCACCTCTCCCCCCCATTCCACTGAGAAGACAGCATCAGCATGACAGTGCTGGTCATCCAAGGGAAACACCTTACTGCTGTCACACTCCATCCAGCTAACAGCAGTACGACTTCGCCCTCAGACCCCTATCATAGTGTAGTAATTTACACCACAACGGTAACTGCTTTTCGCCTAACCACTATCCAACAGACCTTTCTGGTATGGTATGAGCTCGAAGGAACAAGTGTTTCACCAGCGTAGGTCGTTGGGTCATTGTGATATGCAGGCCAGACCACCACGTCAACGTACCAGCTATAGGTCGGTTCTGCAAAGAGTTCTCCATTCTCAGTCATTTTCCCGAGTGCCTCTCGATCCAAGATGAGTTCTCTTCCTGTATTGTCTGCCCTCAGTTTGACAATCACGTCACCGTGTGTTGAACTTCAACTGTGATCTATCATCACCAGCTTCCTTGAAGGCTTCAACTTGATTTTGAAGGCAGATTCCTTGCACTAGATACTGAGTGGTGTGAACCTACATCCACTCCCCTTCTTGATCTGATCTTGTGTCTAGTAGGTTGTGTCTCCACTTTCTTCAGATTGAGGTGAAGTCGAACTGATCTCTATTGTGTCCTGGTGTCTGGTGAAATCAAATCCATGTTGCTGCTTTTTGAATATCCTTGTGTTTGTACACAGTGCCTCCAATCATCAAATCGTTCAGTCCAAAGAAGTCTGCAAACAGTTCTCCGAAACTTAGTGTGTTTATGGTTGTCGTCTGGGTGACAATATCGGAGTATATTATTGACTCTCCAGTTGACAGTTTGGAAAGTCCATTGGGCTCAGACAATCGTTTATATCTAGCCTAAGCCTCGGACATGAAGAAAGATATTGTTTGACATGGCGTCCACCGAGTTCAGCTCAGAGACGGACATAGATAGACCATATTGCTATTAGGGTATTCTGACTGGTGTTGTGCATAAATGTAGCCACAGTCGAAGAAAATTATTACAGTATGTTCACCTTTCATAACTTTCTGAAGTTGCTCATAAATTTTTAACCAACGTAGGACCAACAGAAATGGCTGACGTGATAGCAAACAAATGTTGTTTTCTAAACTCATGAGGTTCCTACTAATATCAGGTTCACTTGTGACTGGTTGCTTGTCAGTTCAAAACAAACCTTTAATTACATAGTATGTTATATACGCAAGTGAATTTCGTGATGGCCTTGAATGCAAAATTGGTTTGCGCCATTCGAAAGATGCTTCGTTTGATTTTCATGTATTATCATCCATAAACAGAACAGTAGACAGTAATAACTCCAGTTATTTGCAAAATTACCATGGTTCAACCACACATTCAATCTGCTGCATTCATTCACAGTATAAGTTTACATTATAAGAGTAGAATCATATGATAAAACAGAACAACTGCGAGCATTGAAACAGCTCCATGTTATTTGGTGATATTAGTTGATAGAGATAAACGAACGAAAAAAAACAGGTGTCATGTGATGAAAAATCAATTTTAAACCGAAACAGACGCTAAACACTTTACTTAAACTTCAGAAAAAAACGTAACAGTTTAAAAAGCTGACTAAAATAAGAAAAAGCTTTCTATACACTGTCTCAAAACACATGAAATTGACAAGAACAGCTTATATACACATTATAAGATTGAAGAATATGAATGGAAGTTTAGAAAATAAGCCATACATCCACTAAACGAATTGATTCTCATGGAAATGTCGTGAACTACGTTTCGATAGGCACATTAAATCAATTTACGGACAGTTAAGAAATTTGGTGAATACAATTTTTTTAGAACTCACCAATAAAGCATCTGCGGTCCCGAAGCAGAGTGAATCTAGCTTCTCTGTCAGCTGACATTGGCTTCCAAAAATGCCTTCAGCATGTGATATTCACGACTAATAAAAGAAGTGAGACACCAGAAGTATAGCCAGTAAGGTTAACAAAAAAAGATCATTCTTCTTATCTCGAGTAGCAACAACAGTAGACCGGTAGGGAAGATAAGATAGTATGTTCATCAGAACAAGTAGCATCAGATGTACATTACGTAAGGTAGCTGGGCAATTGCTCCACATCATAAAAAAGCTGAGAAGTGCAATGTTCAACCTTCAGGATACATATGAACCTCTTGATCCTTCGACACTTATTAACCCGAGGCATGAAAATGTTATCTCACATGAAGGGGTAGAATGTGAATATCCACAGCATTTACTAATTACTTTTAGCAAATAATGTATACATATCATAAAACAACTGAATTGTGGCTCAAGGGTTTTATCTCACGAATTTCAACTAACTATCTACAATACCACCAAAGAACATACAACACCTTGTCAAAAGGGTACTTCCAGAAGACTAAAAATTTTGGTTACAGTTGTCACATTTCAAAAGATAGAGAAATCAGTTAAAAACATTTCATGATGATGGTGTCCAGCGAGAAAATGAAAGCTAAATGATTGTACCATTCAAATCAAAAAACACAATACTACATAAAGTGGTCAGGAAGGAGACGAGAAAGACGAAGGGAAGAAAGATAAGTGTGGGCATAAAAAGGTATCACGCAAAACATGTGTTAGTGACAATAATTCTAAGATGAATAGAATTATCTATGTAACACTGCAAAACAAAAACAAGAGATAGTGGTCTAGATAAAAGTGCCTGCTCTCCGCCTACTAGAATAAATATCTAGAACTTATGGGGTCCCATGTCACATCCGTAAGGCATCGTTTGGTCGAGCTAAGAGTCAAAATATTCCAATAAAGGAACGAAATACATACGAAAGACTATCTCTCTCAGTACCATCTTCCTAAAACTTGATTCCGAAATTTACGAGAATCTATGAGAAAAGAACCACTGATGCGAGCGATAACTGAAAACCACAACAGAAGGAATATCAGGGGAATGCAGTTTTTTTATATAAGGGTCACCAGAAACTCTATTTAGAACTACATTCAGGAACACAAAGTGTACATCCTGAATGGGGTTCAGTCAACAGCCATCTGTGTGATGTACAGATGGGTTAACCAGAATTCAGAAGAGTAGAGGGACACAAGAATGCCCTTGTGCAATCCACCCCTACAACCACACCAACTCCGTTTAGCACGATACAAAAGATAATTTCGATAAATAAAGCTCAGATACAGCAGGCGACTTCAACGCTCAATCAAGGAAAGCGAAGCAGTAGGAAAGGCATCTGACAGATGTCTACAGCATAAGATGCCAATGAAGCAACATCTATGATTTTTTCCTAAGATTTCGTCCTGACAACCACTTTTTAACGGTCAGCACAACTTCACACATTAAAACAGATACTGTCTAGGTGTCCACTGATATCAGACCAAGGGCGAAAACAGATAAATCATATTGCTATAAGCTTTCTTTGAGAGCATGGGTGTAGAACTGCCACTATTCACAGAGTATACAAATAGACGCCGACCATACGTTAGAACAGCTAAGTCTATATATGGGTAATACAAGTGGGAGAAAATAGACAGCAGTGAGGCCTCTTGGGTTTAACAGAAGAAAAAGAAAGTCAAATGCGTTCTTAAGTAGGAGACAGTTAAGCATTCGTTTGAACATGACAGCGATTCTCATCTTGATGGATTTTCCATAATATTCAGCATGGCATGCAAACAGCGATTTAGATAGTTGATAATCTACACCAAAACGTTACCAGAAAGCACTGGATTGTGGTAGAGTAACCCCATCCGAAAAATGAGAGCCTATTTTTTCCAGTAAGCTCTGATTACAATGAGGAGCCAACAAACTCAAACTTAAGATGACTAGGAGTCTTTGCAATAACGGTGAGCAGTAGTCGATGGAGAAAAAAGAGAAGACCTGTCACAAAAATAGGGGAATCAATTTGATCAACATTGTGTCCAAGATCCTTGGATCCATAGTTATCCGACGCCTAAGGGCAACATTAGAACAGGAAGTTCGGGAAAACCAGAACTTCACTCTTCGCCAAACTGTGGAGCACGCATGCTTATCGACAGCCGACACGCTACAGTTTAGTGTGAGTATCCAAGCTTTAGAAGACGTCACGATTAAATACATCTGCGCTGTTATGACCGATTTTCAGCCATATCACCAAAAGTTATCAACAAACTGATTCATCACGGCTACCTCAGCCAGGTTATCTGAATATTCCCACACGACACTGATCAACAGTAAGAGACTTCTTCGACTGGTGTCAGGTTTTGGTTTGGCCACTATGAACCCTCTTCAAATCTGATCCAACTTTGCCCAGCATTGCACGTCAAAGTAGATGGTGGGTAAGCATGCACAACACACGTCCAAGCCAGTGACGGTTCACAAACTCATCGATTGACTTAGCTGTCTTGCACAATTTCCTTCGCCTGACCTCTGGATTGCTAGCAGAGTGATTCCATCGTATGCAAGCAATACCACGAAAATATCTGTAGTCAAAAAAATGTAGCTACTTCATATTTATTAGAAGACATTATCACCTGTTTTCAGTTCATGATTTTGAAATATACCTAAAAGCCATTTTAAGTCAGCTGAAGAGTACATAGTCGAAATAACTTATGTGGAATTGCAAAATAATCAACCTCAGATTTCTCAGAACTTGTTTATACAAAGGTATATAGTTTTATATTTGCCACAGCGACTACATGTGAGCTAAAAATGCTGTACGAAGTTGCGTTCGATGAGTACCTGTCAGCTCTAAACTAAGGTCTAAGCAAGAGAAACATTTAATTTTTTTTTACCAATCTCTTAAAAAAAGTCATTTTTACAAGTTCAAAAAATAAAGACACCAATCTTCTCAGCATTGAATCCTGGATACCTTTCTCTGGATATTTCCCAGGGAGAACTAGCTATTTATTCATTTTTTCGTTTTTAAAAAAAAAACTAATGAAGGCTGATTGTAAATACTATAGATGAATAGTAGCTTCCTTTCAGAAGTCCGCTTTCACTTTTCTAAATATGCTATTTTTATTGAAAGAATCTGTAGATAGTGGATAACTTTATTTCGTGACATTTTAGTCACTTCAATTAATCATACTGAATTGATCAGTATATTTGTTCCGGTTTTGAGTAAAGTACAGATTATTTGGTCATGTTGTCACAGTGAAGTGATAAAAAGATATTACAATCGGTTATATTATAAATCAATGGAATTTCAAAAAATAATTCCATAGCAAGTGATTACAAATGAGTCTTCGCTTCGATAAACTTGTGAAAACTTTGAACTGGACTGAAACCAACTTCATTGTTTACGGAACTTGAGAATGGTAACAAATGCTAACTTCGAAAACGTGAGCCTGTGAAATCTTGTCACATTCTGCACTTACAAGAAAAAATTTTTAAGCAATGGAGAATTTGTTGACGCATGATTCATGTTAGCTTACGGGAATAATTTCGTCTGATAACCACTATTGCCCTAGTAGTATCATCTGCATGCGGTGGGAATAACACAGAATAAAGACTGAATGCAGTCGTAGGTAACAGAGGTAATTTGATGCATGAGGTTGTGAGCCTTCATCGACTGAGATAGTGTTATACAATACTACGTGAAATAAAATCAGGCGGCGATAAAGTTTTTTTTAATGGAAGATAAATACACGACGTCAGTCAATAGAGTCTTCGACTGCTGGTCTGGGTCATTCATTACTGGATGAGATCCGAGTAACAATTGAAACAGATGTTTGCGAACTGTAGGTGACAGCTTTAGATAGATGATAGTGATGCAAATGTATTCGCTCTCTACTCGCATCACATTCTGGCTATCTTCTCTTCCTTTCCATCTTCAAGTGTTTAAAAGCAACTGATAACCTCATTTTTTTCTTCCATTGACTTTCACCTCAATATGTTGATATGTAGTGTTGCGAACTTTCACCAAGAAGTATACACAACAGAATTTACATTGTTTTCCATTGCTCTAACACTGTAAATCTATGATTGTATTTTCCTACCTGCATGATGAGCTTTTCGATATACAAAATCGGGTAAGATATTTTTCAGGCGTTACTAATCACTGACAAATAAATAAAACGAGATTAAACCCTACACAGAGAGAATTGCTATACATCCAAGAAGTAACAACGGTAGAAGTGTGTCGCAATGAACAATACATCACTTTATAGTCGACCGCAGGTAGGAAACACCGAACCTGTTATACAAACAATCTGTAAGGGGAAAACATTTCCCTGATGTCTAATAACCACTGAAGTAGACTGGGATCATGAAATTCATTTCTTGCTCATGAGTTACTGCGATAAATATTGAGTAACCGATAATTGTCTCCATAGTCAAACAGAATAAGTAACAAAACAAAAAATTGCTAGTTAAATGACTTCGTATATAGTAATTTATAAAGTACTGAACTGCGGCGACTTTAAAGGTCACCCCAACAACTGCTGGAATAACCGATTACGTTTCTCCATCCTATGAAAAACTGCCTTCCCAGCCAAAACACCGCCACATGATTGGTTATCTCAGTAGTTGCTAAGGCAGCCTTTAAAGTCATTCCTCAACTGCACTAACAATAAAAAGAACTCGTTAATGATGTTTATTTCATGACTTTAACTTGAATTTGTGACAAAACTTATGGTATATGGTAACTTATTGTTTCTGGATAGTGTGTAGTAAGTTTGAAGTACTTATCCTTCCTAGAACCTCGAAGATTTTAAATGGCGTTTGCATTTGACCAGAGGAAATACATGATTTTTGGAGAGGTTTTTAAGTCGGATACTGAAAAAGATAAATACCAAATTAGTTGCATCCCTTTTGTAGGGTGTGGAAATAGTTCAATCGCCCAATAGAAAAATAAAGCTTGTCCAGCTTTTACCATTTCGCGTCACTACTAATACAGCTACCACAATATTTGTATATGCACAACAGAACCAGTGTGTAAAAAGAAAGTAAATAAATTAACGAACCATAAAAACGACGGCAAACGCCATTTTTTAAACTTCGAAAAGGTCATCTTACCTTTTTTCAACTCTTAATCTTTCATTCTCTTCGGTTGTATAGGTCCATTGATAATAACCAAGTAAATACTTCCAAACTATTGGCCTTAAATCTTTTTCAATACCCTGTATAATTGAGGAATAAGAAAAATAAAGAGTTTTACATTTAGGAATATACTCATAATAAATAGCAAGGAGTGACTGGTTTACATCCATCTATGCCTCACGATCATACAATTGAACAACTTACAGAGACATAAATAAATGCTAAAGAAAATTGTTTCTATTCTTGAGCTGTACAACTCAGTAAGCTCTTCTACTAAATAGTCAAACATACCTGAAGTATAAGAACTACTAAGTACTAGCTAAGTGCTTAAACTTCAAATTGCACTGAGTTAAAAATGGTGGCCTACTGGTTCAAAGTCAACCAGTCAAAACCAATGGTCACTATTTTAGCTAAAGCAAGATATTGCACCAGTTATACGTGCATGAGTACACATTTCAACTACTGCTTAAACTGGGAACACAGCACATTCAAAAAATCTACTGGATTTTTGTTATGCATTGCAGAGATAAGTAACTTATAAACACACACCATTTCTTTTCCTAAAATGCATTTGTTTTCACATATTTATCCAGTGCGGCGAAAGAGCATTATCAGCAGGTAACCACATTTACACACACCACAGTGTCAGCTAAATTGGTTCCTTGAAGCGACGGAAGTCCTACTTAGCAGACAAAACAACAACTCACCTTTCAATACAAACACTTTTAGTGAAATATTTAGTGAATATAACCATTATTAGCAATAATAACGTATCTGCATGCTTGAAAGAAACCTCGCCTAGTTTACTAGTTCACTAGCCAGGCATAAACTGAGAAAAAAAGGGAAGGTTGGGCGTGTAGCTAGCAATTCTACCCGAAATCCAATAGCCACAGAAACTTCAAAGCACAGGACAAAATATAAAAAATAAACTTATTCTTCGCTGGAGTCGGAGAGGTGAAATAACGCCGGTTGGTGAAAACCTTCAGGAAGCCAATTGGCCAATGTGCGTTCTCTTCTCCAGATGAAAGCCAAAGTAAAGATGAGGATATGGAATCTCTGCACCACGTATGAACCTACCAAGGCCGCCCAGATTGCGAAAAAGATGAAGAGATATGGCATGGAAGTGCTAGCAATCTGTGAAAGCAGATGGAATGGAAGTGGACTCTCCAAACTGTCAACTGGAGAGTCAATAATATACTCTGATATTCTCACCCAGATGACAACCACGAACACACTGAGTTTCGGAGTAACTATCATGATGTCCTCAACAACACCGAAAACTCTCATGCAGTGCAAACCAATCTTCTCCAACATAAGGATTATGACAGCAAGATTCAACTCAAAAGGAAGGAAAGTTACAATCATACAATGCCAATACTACGCACCTACAAATAATGCAGATCAAGAGAAGAAGGAGGAATTCTATGCACAGCTGAAATCAGTGAATGGACAAGACCCCAGGTGGCGAAATCAAAATTCTCACGGGTGGGGTGACGTGAATGTCAAACTGGGGGCAGACAATACAGGAAGAGAACTCATCTTGGGTCGAGAGGCACTCCGGAAAATGAATGAGAATGGAGAACTGTTTCCAGACTTCTGTGCACACAACGATTTGGTGATTGGAGGCACTGTGTACAAACACAAGGATATTTACAAAGCAGCAACATGGATTTGATTTCACCAGACACCAGGACACAATAGAAATCAGTTCGACTTCACCTCAATCTGAAAAAAGTGGAGACACAACCTACTAGACACAAGATCAGATCAAGAAGGGGAGTGGATGTAGGTTCACACCACTCAGTATCTAGTGCAAGGAATCTGCCTTCAAAATCAAGTTGGAAGCCTTCAAGGAAGCTGGTGATAGACCACAGTTCAAGTACAACACTCGAAAACTGAAGGGCGAAACTACAAAGGACATCTTCACGTCAGACAAAATGGGAGATACCGAGCAACATCCCTGAAGAAACCTGTATGGATGAGCACTGGAACTCTTTGAAAGCTATATGGAAAGAAACCTGCATAACCGTATTAGGAAGGAGGAAGAAAGAAGATAAGGAATGGATCTCGATGGACACATGGAAGTTGATAGGAGAGGGAGAGGAGGATGGTGAAGCAGAAGATAAATCAGTGCAAGGATGCACAACGACAAGAGGAACTGAGTACAACGTATAAAACACTGGACAAAGAAGTGAAGAAGAGTGCACGGAAAGACAAAAGACACTTCTACGAAACACTGGCAAGTGAAGCAGAACAGGCTGCTCGTAGAAGAGACCAAACCACATTGTATCAAATAACCAGGTTACCATTTGGGAGGGAAGAGATCAACACAACACAGATGAAACCAATGAAAGATAGTGAAGGAAAGCTAGTAAGCAAAGAAAAGAAACAAAGGAAACGATGGGCCGACCACTTCAAAAAGTTCTTGAATCGACCACCACCTGCCCTTCGTCCAGAAATACCACGAACAGCCCAACCACAGAACTATCAGTGAACACAAATCCTCCAACAAAAGTCGAAGTCCTGAACGCCATAAAGTTACTGAAATGCGGGAAAGCAGCAGGACCAGATGGAATTCCTCCAGAAGCAATGAAAACAGACCCAGAGACATCAGCAGTGGACATGCTCACACCACACCACTACTTCAGAAGGTTTGGAAGGAAAGCAGGAAAGAAACCTGAGGACTGTAAGAAGGGCTACCTTGTCAAACGTACAAAGAAGGATCACCTAGGTCTTTACAGGAACGAGAACTGGCACGGAATCACGCTCCTGTCCATGTCCACCCAGAGCAAGCAAAATATTAGGCCGCATCATCCTGGAGACACTAAAGGATGCACTGGATTCAAAACTACCACCCGAACAGGCAGGATTCAGGAAGAACAAATCATCTGCGGATCAAATTGCAATGCTACGCTATGCATCATCATAGAACAGAGTATAGAATGGCAGTCAATTCTCTACCTCAACTTCATCGACTTTGAAAAGGCCTTCAACAGCGTCGATCGAGAAGTAATTTGGAAACTGCTTCAATACTACGGAATACCACGAACCTTAATCAACTTCATTCAGCAGCTTCTGTTGAACAATCTCTGGGGATCATTTGGTTAGCACCCGTCGGCACGTCAAGTTTTTCTCAATGCCTTGTGAGTAACCCCGTTATTGAGTATTTTTCGTTGATTTAGAATCTAAATCAAACCTTTGTTCCTCAAGAACCTAATCTGACTTTCTTCAATGCGATTTATGTTTTTTCTTCCCCCGTTTTCTGGGTTTCTTTTATTCTGTGAGCTCCGCTTTCATAAATGTACTCTGTTTCTCATTGCGCTTCTCCATTTTCTTAGATTGAAAAGAAATGCACTCAGCAACCTTGTGCACCTTCGTGTAATAGGCAGTAAAGCACAGCTAACGTATCAGGGCTAATGTTACTTCCTGGTTGCCTAAACCTCAGTTAAGAAGCGGTGACCCACCGTTGAAAGTCATCCCCTAAACCAATGAGCCACAGCTCCAAAATTTCTTTGGTTATTTCCCATGATAATGATCGTATTTTATTCACTACTTGGTTGATCCTACTAATCTATTATTCCATTCCTCATAACAAGCCTGACACATTTTTTTTCATCTCCTTGCAATTTATCTTTTCATTCTATGAGAATAACCTATTTGATTTTTATTCTGTGATATCGTTGAAATGATTTGGTGATTGGAGGCACTGTGTACAAACACAAGGATATTTACAAAGCAGCAACATGGATTTGATTTCACCAGACACCAGGACACAATAGAAATCAGTTCGACTTCACCTCAATCTGAAAAAAGTGGAGACACAACCTACTAGACACAAGATCAGATCAAGAAGGGGAGTGGATGTAGGTTCACACCACTCAGTATCTAGTGCAAGGAATCTGCCTTCAAAATCAAGTTGGAAGCCTTCAAGGAAGCTGGTGATAGACCACAGTTCAAGTACAACACTCGAAAACTGAAGGGCGAAACTACAAAGGACATCTTCACGTCAGACAAAATGGGAGATACCGAGCAACATCCCTGAAGAAACCTGTATGGATGAGCACTGGAACTCTTTGAAAGCTATATGGAAAGAAACCTGCATAACCGTATTAGGAAGGAGGAAGAAAGAAGATAAGGAATGGATCTCGATGGACACATGGAAGTTGATAGGAGAGGGAGAGGAGGATGGTGAAGCAGAAGATAAATCAGTGCAAGGATGCACAACGACAAGAGGAACTGAGTACAACGTATAAAACACTGGACAAAGAAGTGAAGAAGAGTGCACGGAAAGACAAAAGACACTTCTACGAAACACTGGCAAGTGAAGCAGAACAGGCTGCTCGTAGAAGAGACCAAACCACATTGTATCAAATAACCAGGTTACCATTTGGGAGGGAAGAGATCAACACAACACAGATGAAACCAATGAAAGATAGTGAAGGAAAGCTAGTAAGCAAAGAAAAGAAACAAAGGAAACGATGGGCCGACCACTTCAAAAAGTTCTTGAATCGACCACCACCTGCCCTTCGTCCAGAAATACCACGAACAGCCCAACCACAGAACTATCAGTGAACACAAATCCTCCAACAAAAGTCGAAGTCCTGAACGCCATAAAGTTACTGAAATGCGGGAAAGCAGCAGGACCAGATGGAATTCCTCCAGAAGCAATGAAAACAGACCCAGAGACATCAGCAGTGGACATGCTCACACCACACCACTACTTCAGAAGGTTTGGAAGGAAAGCAGGAAAGAAACCTGAGGACTGTAAGAAGGGCTACCTTGTCAAACGTACAAAGAAGGATCACCTAGGTCTTTACAGGAACGAGAACTGGCACGGAATCACGCTCCTGTCCATGTCCACCCAGAGCAAGCAAAATATTAGGCCGCATCATCCTGGAGACACTAAAGGATGCACTGGATTCAAAACTACCACCCGAACAGGCAGGATTCAGGAAGAACAAATCATCTGCGGATCAAATTGCAATGCTACGCTATGCATCATCATAGAACAGAGTATAGAATGGCAGTCAATTCTCTACCTCAACTTCATCGACTTTGAAAAGGCCTTCAACAGCGTCGATCGAGAAGTAATTTGGAAACTGCTTCAATACTACGGAATACCACGAACCTTAATCAACTTCATTCAGCAGCTTCTGTTGAACAATCTCTG